AAGGTGCTCGGGGGTGAGGAGGGTCCCGCTCCCCTCTGGAACGGGGAAAGGGAAAGGGAAAGGTGCTCGGGGGTGAGGAGGGTCCCGCTCCCCTCGGTAACGAGGGAAAGGGAAAGGGAAAGGTGCTCGGGGGTGAGGAGAGGCTCCGGCCACCGGGAGCCGCGTCCCCGAGCGCTGCCCGCTGACCAACTCTACTTTATCTCTAATTAAACCGCCGTCAATGGGCGTCGTTACCTGTCCTCTGTGAATTTTCCCCCAGATCCGTGTCTGAGCCTTGGCTTCCAGTGCTCAGTGAGGATCCGGGGCGGTATAAGTGATAGAAATGATGATATAAATGATCTCTGGGGTGTTTTTCTCTCCCGGCCATCAGATCCCTGATGCGGATAGAATATTGACGTTTTTAGGCTGCAGCGTTTATTTCTGAAGCTCCTGTCAAGGGGATGTTCCTGTACAGGCTGGGAGTGGAAGAAATCCTGTGAGGAAAGTGCTCCTGGAGTTTTAAGGAATAATTTTGTGTGTTTGTGGAATGGAATCTGGAGCACTGACTGGGCACCTTGACTAGAGACTGCTCACTTGCTCTCTGGTCGGATGTGCTGCCCTTTTACTGATTTCTGAGGGAAAAAAATGGAGTTCTGTCCGTTTTCTGGGTGAGCAAATTTTCTCCCAAGTGTCCTAATGGCAAATTTAGGTAAATAATATTTTCACTGCTGAAAGCAGCTGATTTTGAGGACCCCAAACTCCCCCAGATTACTTAAGCATCGTTCAAGAAAACGTTTTGAATTTTCTCTGTACAATTTCTAAATGTCAGAATTCGACTTCTGTCACTATTTGAGAATAAAATTCTGTGTCAAATATTCTTGATTTCTGATGTTATAAAAACATAATCCATTGGCTCTTACAATATTTCAGTGATGAAACATCATTCAGACCCTTCCTCTACTCAGTTTGCAAAACAGAACTTGGTTTCTTCCTCTGTAGCATTTCAGGGAATTTACAGAATTAGGGAATCAGTGGGAGTTGTGGGGATGGGTTTTTCTTTTTTAATTGATGCTCCTTGAGCACGTCAGGTGTTTCTGGTGGCTTTGCCTGGTGGTTCATGCACACGGAGGGTGTCTGTGAAATGTGTCCTGATGGAACTGTGACATTCCTGTTTATGTTTCAAAGGAAGGTGGATTTGAGGCTCAGGTTTGAAATAGGATGAGTTTTCTTGGCTGGAGGGAGATGATGCCCAGAATTTTAGGAGTTCTTGAAGCAAATTTCATGAGCTGCTGTTGCAAAATCCTTTCAGTTAAATGACTTTTGGAGGTGGAGCTGCACGGAGACTTTGGGTTTACTGTGAAAATCGTCACCCTTGCCTGTCTGGTTCTCAAAAAGTGGTGTTTGTACAGACTGGGCCAATAAAGCCTTGGTGTTGCTCCTCTTGTCAGTGCTCTGTGACAGCAAAATTCTGCCTTCACCCCAAAGAGAGCACCTGCTTTCAGCTAAATAAATTAAATTCAGCTGTCAGAGCAGTTTTACACAGGGGGTGACTCGGGTATTATCCTTTTTGGTGCTTCTTCTTAGAGCTTGAGACCTGCAGGTTGAGGTTTTTCCCCCATTCCAGGGGGAAATTCCCAGTTTTCCAGCTAAATAAAGTTAAAAGCATGGGAGTCTTGTGTGACAGCCCAGAAGCTGTGAGGTGCAGGATGAATTTAGCAATCCTTGCTAAATCTTTTTATTGCCTGATGTTGGGTGAATAATTAAATATTCCAGAGCAAGCAGAGATGAACTAAACTCAAAACTCATATTTCTAATGGGAAATACTTTATCTTTTATTCCTGTAAGCAGAACTTCACACCAGTGGGAGAAAGGTCAGCAAAACCCTCTGTACTTTCCCCCTGGGGTGTTTCTTTGGGGTGATTTATAGGTTTCACTGTTTCTTGGAGGCTGTTTTGAGTCTTTCATGGGACAGTAATGTAGAGAAACTAATAGCAGAGAGAGCAGGGAGGGCAGGCTGTGGTTTTGCACTACAGAAATGAACAAAGTTTCTGTAGCACTGGAAATTTATTGTCATTTTTGCTGCTGCCTGGATTTCGGTTTGAGGGGCCCTGGTTACATGGGACACTTTGCAGGGTGCAAAATGTAGATTTTTCCTTTATAAAAGCTAAAACTCTGTTTGAGGACAGACAAAGTTGTGTCCACTGCAGGTTTGTCATTAATTCTGCTGATAATCTTGAATGGTTGATGTTTGCAGCCACGAGGATGTTGGGAAGGCTGGGGAAGGTTTGGGCTGGGCTGCGAAGGACACACAGAACCCTGGATTTGTTTTGGCTGGAAGAGACCTTAAGGAACATCTCATTCCACCTCCCTGCCATGGACGGGGCCACCTTCCACCATCCCAGCTTGCCCCGAGCCCCATCCAACCTGGCCTTGGGCACTGCCAGGGATCCAGGGGCTTCTCTGGGCACCTGTGCCAGGGCCTGCCCACCCTGGCAGGGAGGAATTCCTTCCCCAAATCCCATCCAGCCCTGCCCTCTGGCAGGGGGAAGCCCCTCCCCATGTCCTGGCACCCCAGGCCTTTGTAGGTGCTCTCTGTCCATCCTCCCTGCAGCTCTTTCAGGTACTGGAGAGGCGCAGGAAGGTCACCCTGAAGCTTCTCCATTCCAGCTGAAGAATCCCAATCCTCCCAGCAGAGCTGCTCCATCAGTCACAGTCTCTTGTACCAGCCAGCAGTTTTCTCCCTGCAAAGCCCTGCTTTGGTGCCATTTTGGGGGTCCTGCAGCACAACCCCTCCGAGCAGTGAGGGTGCAGGAGCAGGACTCTGCTCTTGGTGGACTCTTCCCCCCAGGAGCCTTCACCGGGCTGCGTGCTGTGGTTGGGCTCAGCAGGGAAAAATCAATGACTCACATTTCCACAGAAAGAAATGTAATTTCCAGTCTCATAGCAACTGTCCTTTCAACACTTTCAAACCTTCTGTGACAAAATGTTTAACACTCACCCATCAGCTTTTAATGCTCCAGGCTGGTCCGCCCACTCCCCCCAGCTGAAACTGCATTTGTGCATCCCTGAATCCCCCAGAATCCGAGGGGGGATGCTGGCAAGACGCTGAACAGTTAAATATAAAATCTTAGACATGAGAGAAGTGTTGCTGACTGCATTACATCAAGACAGAGTGACTCTTAAAATTCAAAACTGTGTTCTCTTCACTTTTAAGTCCCTGGTTTGTTTTTATACACCTTCAGATAGTTTAAAATAGGTTTGGCTGGTGGCTTGGCTAAAATATTTTTGGAAATTATCTTACTTAGAGAAAGATATTCTTTAAGTATGAAGAATCTTGATTTTCTTCCTGAATCTTCCTTCAAGTGGAAAGCAAGCAGGGTTAGATGGGATATTAGGAATTGGATATTAAAGGGATTATATTGGATGGTGAGGCCCTGGCACAGGGTGCCCAGAGAAGCTGGAGCTGCTCCAGACCTCAAAATGCCCAAAGCTGGGTTGGATAAGGCTTGGAGCAGCCTGGGGTGGTGAAAGGTGTCCCTGCCCATGGCAGGGGGTGGCACTGGATGGGCTTTAAGGTCCAAACCCCAAACAAATCTGTGATTCTGTGTCCTTCACAGCACAGACCAAACCTGTTCTGTTCCCATCCTGGACTCCTGCTGTTCCCAGGCCTCAGGTGTGTCCTTCACCTGCCCAAACCCCCAGGGATGAGCAGGCCAAGGTCCCACCGTGTCCCTCCCCACTGAGGAGGCACAGAAGGGCTCAGGGCGTCGATGGGAAGTGACAAAAATTCAGGCTGTGCCTTAATAACAGCAGAAAAGGGCAGAGAGCTCATTCAGCACATCCCAGTGAGCCCAGAAGCACCAGCAGCAGCACTGCTGGAACTGGGCACTGCTGTCCAAGTGACTAACTGGATTTTACTGCTTTTCTCCTAGCTGATGATGGAAGAGGTGCACAAGGGCAGCAGCAGCAGCTCTGTTCCGTCCCAGCCCTCAGCTGTACAAGGTACAACCCTCCAGGCAGCTCAGCTCTCTCATATTGCTCAACAGGTAAAGCCTGGGCTGGATCTCAGCAAACATTTCAGGGAGCTCAGAGCCGCTTTTGTGTGCTACCAACTGTAGATCCATTCTTGGAAGCACTCAGAGAAGAAAAAAAAAACAGAAAGATGCTAAGAAAAATGTGTTTGGTTGATGGTGGGTGACATAAAATTAATTTCAAAGTGGTTAAAAGCTAATTTTTTTGTGTTTGTACAATGCAAAAGTGCGGCCCAGATTTGGGGTTAGTTGACCACAGGAGCTGCTCAGGAATAAAATGAGGGCCTGGTTTCATTTTTTCCTCAGAAAAAGCATTTCCAGCTCCTTTTGTAGTAGCAGCAATCCTGGGTACTCAGCACCATGGAAACCCTTGGATTTTAGCCCAACATGAATATATTTAATCTAATAAACCAGATGAACTTGCAAATTTGAGATTTTTCCTCTAAGGTAACATCCCTGTCAGAGCTTTAACCTGAATCCCTTAGAAATGGTGAGTGAATCCTTCCAGGAGGGTTTTCCTGGGAAAAAAACAATGTTTTGCAGCTCTTCCACTATTTATCCTATGGAGGCAATTGGGATTTTGATGCAAAATTTAGATTTAGGAAAGGAGAGAATATCAGTTGCTGTCCTGGAGTTTGTTTCCAGGCTGATTTTCTGATCTGTTTTTATATAAAGTTCTGATTGTCCCTTTATATTGTGAGTTATGATACAAAAGTAGCATTAAATGGAAATTCAGCTGTGTGTATTTTAATGATCCCTTAATCTTCTTGTGTATTTCAGATTAATAAAAGTACTGAAGGAATTTCATTACAAAAGTGGTTATTTCCTTACAATCTACATGTATAACTTGAATTATTTTTGTTTTGGGAATATATGGCAATATGAACAATATAAATTGATTTAAAGTGTAAATCCTCATGCAAGTTCAACATCAAAACTACAAACCCTCTAAGAAGCTGAAGCATTTTCATGTTTTTGCTATGTTACATAATATCACATATTTGATTATGTGACATAATGCCACTTTGATTTTTTCTCCAAAAAAAGGAAATAACGAACTGTTTCAGCCTTTTTCATATGCAAATAATGTCTTTAAAAATGTGCATCTTTAGAGGTACTTCTGTGATTTAATTAGAATTAAAATAAGCTGCTAATGGTTTTCCTACACGTGTTGCACTTCCTGAGTCCTGTGGCACAAAGGTTTTTACTGATGGTTTTTGGTCTGTTGTAGATCAGAGGTTTCCTGTGGCACCAAGGTTTTACTGATGGTTTTTGGTCTGTTGTAGATGTCTCTCAGAGGTTCCCTGTGGCACCAAGGTTTTACTGATGGTTTTTGGTCTGTTGTAGATGTCTCTCAGAGGTTCCCTGTGGCACCAAGGTTTTACTGATGGTTTTTGGTCTGTTGTAGATGTCTCTCAGAGGTTCTGCTCCCCTCACAGTGGTTCAGCTTCCTGGAGAGCAAGTCCAGGTCCAGGGAGTCATCCAGACAGCTCAGTCCTCCTCTGTCATCCACTCCCCTCAGGTGCAAACCGTGCAGGTAACTCCAGAATGGCTTTGAACACCCCACATCTGCAGTTCTGTAGGTGAGAAGATGTGAAAAGATGTGTGGAGGCTTCTCTGAGGCAGCTGCCTCTGTGCCCTGCTGTGAGAGACAGTGACCAACCCCACGGGATCCCTCATTTGGGCTTGAAATTCTTCCTGCTGGGAAGTCACCTGTGTAGTAAAACGAAATTTGAGGTCACCTCCCTTCATAGAAAAATCCAATCCACATCCACATCCACTCCCTTCATATAAAAATCCAATCCACATCCAAACCATTGTATGCCACCTCCCTTCATACAAAAATCCAATCCACATTCAAACCATTTGATGTCACCTTTCTTCATACAAAAATCCACATCCAAACCATTTGATGTCACCTCCCTTCATACAAAAACCCACATCCAAACCATTGTATGCCACCTCCCTTCATGCAAAAATCCAATCCACATCCAAACCATTTGATGTCACCTCCCTTTACACAGAAATCCAATCCACATGCATCCATCCAATCCAATCCTGGTGCCCTGGCAGTCAGGTGGGGTCTGACACCCAAAGGAGGGGAGTGGGGACTAACAGAATCATTCAGTAGTTAAAATTAAAATCCATTTTAATAATTGTTAAATGGATTAAAAGGAGTGTTTGGGCAAGGTGGAGCTGTGTGAAGGGGAATGAGCTGCTGGGTGCTCTCTGGTGCTGTAACTCCCTTTTGGTGGTACCCAGGTCTCTGCCTGTGTCTCTTACTCCCTTGCCATGGGATTTTTGTGCGAGTCCCTCCCAGGAGGTACCCAGGGAGTTCAGTGAGTCTGCTCCTGCTCCTCTCAGTCCCTGCTGCAGAGCCCCTGGGGACCTGGAGTTCCACTGGGAAACCACTGGCAGCTGGCAAGGGAGGAGCTGCCCTAAACCCCAGGGATTTGTCCCTGATCTTGTGCCATCCTCTCCTCACACCTCACTAAATTGATAAATCATGAGAAGCAAACCCAGCAGGGCCTGTGAGCTGTCACTGCTGTAACACCAGAGCAGGGGGAGGAGAACGTGGCACTGCTGAAAGCTCAAACATCTGCATTGGCTGCTTGCTGGTGCTCCTGTGTCTGTAAAGTCTCTTTCCTTTTCCCTCCCTCTGAGGGAATAAACAAATAAAAAATTCCCTGACTGGATTAACTCCTCTTCTGTAATTTATGAACATTGTGGCCTTGATGGGGGCAAAAACAAAGTACAACACAAGCAGGTTTTTTTTTTCCCTGCTGATCATGGGCTGCTCTGTCTCTGCAATTCAGTGAGAGGCTTTTCCCAGAGCTCTGCATTCGGTTACTGGCACACAGATAAGAACAAATAAATGTTTTGTTCACTAATAAGGTGCATCAGTGACAAAATAACACTTTGAACTGGACAAGCACACAGTAGAATAATGAGAATTGTGGATAGCACTTAGCATATTTACTCCCTGATATGCTGCTGCCTTAAATATTATTTTCATCGGACTTTAACACTCTCACCAACAAACTCCACAGCTCCTCCTCTACATACAAGATTCCAGGTGCTTTCTGTGTTTGTCCTGTGCATCAGTGGTTTGCTGTTCCGTTTCTCACCAGGTTTCTTCCTTGTCTGAGAGTGAGGATTCTCAGGACTCCTCAGACAGCATCGGCTCCTCGCAGAAGGCTCGAGGCATCTTGGCTCGTCGTCCATCCTACCGGTACGGCTGGGATAAAAACACTTGGTGCTTTTATTTGAAAACACCAAAACAACAGCCCCTTCCCATGGTTTGCAATATTCTGCTGCCCACCAGGTTGTTTCCTTTCCCTTGAAACACGCAGTGAATCTGTTCATGCACTGAACTTCCTGAGCCATCGTTACTGTGAGGAAACTTTGACTCCACGAGCTGGAGATTGGCCTCGGCAGGATTTTGTAAAGGGCAGAATGTTCACCAGCTGTAATTTTACTCACTTGTATCATTTTACTGAAATGAGGAGTGCAGTCAAATGTCATTTTTTTTTCCACAGAAAAATTTTGAAAGATCTTTCTTCTGAAGATGCACAGGATAGAAAAGGAGATGAGGAAAGCCCTGGGGTCTCCACTGTCACCTCCATGTCCGTTCCCACACCCATCTACCAGACAAGCACTGGACAGTACAGTACGTTACCCAAAATATCCTCACACTTTTTCTTCTGCTTGCCTCAAAATACAGATTTTGTTAAGCATTTGAGTATGATGAAGGACAAAAGTTGGTTATTATCTAGTAGTCACTGAAGTTAGTACATAGAAGTAATTGGTATCTACAGACTTCAGATAAACTCAGTACTCTGTAATTTTAATTTTTGCACATCAGGACATTTAAGAGTGTTGGTATGGAGCACACAGCAGTGTTCTTTGCTGGATTTTAACCCAATACATCAGTGAAGACACACAGAGATATATATATATTTTTTTTAATATATATGTATATTATAGGCCACACTAAAAGGCTTCTGTTGTATCAGAGAGGTAGAAAAAATTAAGATTTGTTCTTTTGATGTTCCCACTTGGTGTTTGTGGTGCTTCACACGTCCTGTGAGGGTGGTGAGGCCCTGGCACAGGTGCCCAGAGCAGCTGTGGCTGCCCCTGGATCTGGGCTGGACAGGCTTGGAGCAGCCTGGGCTGGTGGAGGTGCCCCTGTAAGGTCCCTCTAGGACACTGTGATTTCCCTGTGTTTTCTGCTGTACAGCTACAAATCCCCTTGTGCATGTGCCTTCCCTCGCAGTCGCCATCGCGGCCAACGGGCTGCAGCTGGCAGGGCCGGGGGCAGACGGGGTGCAGGGGCTGCAGACTCTGACCATGGCCAACGCCGGCGCCTCCCAGCCCGGGACCACCATCCTGCAGTACGCCCAGACCTCGGACGGGCAGCAGATCCTGGTGCCCAGCAACCAGGTGGTGGTGCAGAGTGAGTACCCCCTGTGGGACGTGGTTACACCCCCGGCACCGTGAGTGTCACCTGCTGATCCCCTTTGTGTCCCCTAGCTGCCTCTGGGGACATGCAGACCTACCAGATCCGCACCACGCCCACCACCTCCTCCCTGCCCCAGACCGTGGTGATGACCTCCCCTGTCACTCTGACGTCCCAGAGCAGCAAGACAGACGACCCACAGCTGAAACGAGAGATCAGGCTGATGAAGAACAGGTATGTGCCTGCACCTGAGCTGCTGGCTTGCCGAGTTGGGGTTGGAAAACACTTCCAGGATCATAAAGACCAACCTGTGACAGGTCTGCGCCAGAGCACTGAGTGACACATCCATGGATGGGCACTCCAGACCTCTCTGGGCAGCCCCTGCCAATGCCTGACCAATTTCCATGAAGAAATTCCTCCTCATGTCCAGGCTGAACCTCCCCTGGCACAGCTTGAGGCCGTTTCCGCTTGTCCTGTCCCTGTTCCCTGGGAACAGAGCCTGACCCCCTGCCCCTGGCTGCCCCTCGTGTCAGGGAGTTTGGAGAGGGAGGAGGTTCTCCTGAACCTCCTTTTCTCCAGGCTGAGCCCCGTTCCCAGTTCCCTCAGGAGTTCTCCAGCCCCTTCCCAGCTCTGGATATCCTCCAGCCCATCCATATTCCTCTTGCACTGAGGGGTCTCAGCAGTGTCCAGCACAGGGGACAATCCCTGCCCCGGTGCTGTGCCACACCATGGCTGGCACAGCCCAGGCATCCTTGGCCTCCTTCCCCACCTCAGCACACCTGGGCTTGTGGGAGATTGTGACCCAAACATGGGAAATCCTGAGCCAGACGTGCTCCCTTGGGTCTCAGTGTGGAGAAAGCAAAATTGGGATTCCCCTGCAGAGTGGCTGCCATGTGTGTTGCCAGATCCTGCTGAGTTTCCTGCTCTCCTCGGGCAGTTCTGGCTCGGTTTTGTTGCTCACTGCAGTTCCAGCTCTCTCTATTGATCAGTGTTGTTCAAAAAATTGATCTCACGCCTAAAATGAAGAATTCTGCTTCTCTCTTGCAGAGAAGCTGCCCGGGAGTGCCGTAGGAAGAAGAAGGAGTATGTGAAATGTTTGGAAAATCGAGTGGCAGTCCTGGAAAATCAGAACAAAACTCTAATTGAAGAGCTAAAAACTTTGAAAGATCTTTACTGTCATAAAAGTGTGTAAGAAGAGAAGGTAAAAACCTTTGGGAACTGGTGAAATATCAGAGGAGTTTGGTTTTTTTTTTATACTGAATTTTTTTAACTAGATGAAAGGTCAAAAATGAAACTTTTCTACCTAGATTTCACAGCTCAAAGACTATAGATTTTCTTTACAACATGTTGGTGACAAAGTACAAAGACGAAACAAGAAAACCTCACCAAAATTCCTGCTGGCACAACTGGAAACTGCTAAATTCAAGATTGCAGCTACAGCAGAAGGACAGTCACGTGTGGCGAGGCAGGTGATGAGAGTTTCTTTGAAAATTCCTATGAATGCCTCTAAAAAGGGAGGCAAAATTTGGTTACAAAAAAAAAACCATAAATGAAACAGAATCCTTGCCATAGCTGACATTATTAGTAACATTTATAACCAGTGTATGTTTTGTTTTCTTACTCTTTTTCAAGCCTTTTTCCTTCAGTTATTTGTCTGTAAATATTTTTATTTTAACCTGTAAGGTGATATTTACAGGTGCAGGTGAGAAAAAAGCTGATACTTTGCTCGAGGTATAAATTATGTTTTTACTCTTTTCTCAGATGACAATTTAAAAAATTGGGATGATTTTTTTTTTCCATGTTTGCTGTGTTTATCGCATTGGGAAAGGATCAGAAGGGGGCAAGAGGCCTGGTCCTGGAAATGTCAGAGGCACAGAAAATCGTGTTGATTTTCTTAGAGAATTCAACACATCAGTGATTTTAAAGCACAGTGTGAGGGACAAGGACTGGTGACAAAAGTTCTGAAGAATTTCTGAGATTAAACTTCTGAAAGTTTTTCGTTCTGCAAGAGTTTGTTCTTAGTTCTGGGCATGAGAAACATCGATTTTTGAAAATTAAATTGAGCATATCTACAATTAAACACTCAGTGCTTGTCCTGGCTGGGGATTCTCCTGGGCTTTGGAACATGAAACCAAATAGAAGAAAAATGATGTAGTAAAAAATGGATGATCTATACCAAAGGGTTATGAGGTTCTAATCTCTGGTTTATTGCTGGAAGTAGTGCAAAATTACAATTTCCAGCCTCACTTTGTAAGGTAGGAGCTCTTTTGTAAAGTAATGGTATCTTTGTAAGCAAATTCTATATTGCAAACAGGGAGATGGTTGGTATATTTTGTAGCTAAATTGTGATCTTTACAAAACCTGAAATTGAGTTTCTATACGTATTTTGACAGTTTATATCTTTCATTTTAGTAACCAAATGAAATATTTTGTGAACCAGATTTTCAAGGATATATTTTTATGGATAGTACAAAGTCAAATGAGATCCTCTTTGGTGTAGGAGATACTTGAATTAATTTTGTATGTCTGTAGGCAACTTGCAGAAAAAAAAATGGATCCTAAAGAGTATGGGGGGTGGGGGGGAAGAGGAAAAAAAAAAAGAAATTAGGGTTTTTTACTCCCCAGAATTGACAATATCTGCACATTAGATCTCATTGTGTCAGAGAGTCCAGTTTGTACAATTTGTTTCAGGTGAAAATCAAACATTTCACGTGATCAGGACTCCTTTACCTGGGGAATCTCCATTCTTGGAGATGCCCAGAGCTCTCTGGCTGTGGTCCAGGTGGGCAGGACATGGTGAGGACACGGTCCTGGTGGCCTGGCTGTGGTCCTGGTGGCCAGGCTGTTATCCTGGTGGTCAGATCATGATCTTGGTGGCCAGGCTGTAGTCCTGGTGGTCAGGGTGTGGTCCTGGTGGCCTGGCCGTGGTCTTGGTGGCCAGGCCGTGGTCCTGGTGGCCAGGCCGTGGTCATGGTGGCCAGGCCGTGGTCCTGGTGGCCAGGC